TGATGTATTGTAATAGATATGATTTAATATCAATAAAGACTTGCATCTAATGCTGTTCAACTCAAAAAAAAAAAAATTAATAGTACAGTAAATAGTACTTATAGATTTTCAAATGTATATCTCTAGTTTAATACCTATAGAAAATAAAAATATATTAATAAAGCTTATATGCAAATTTACCAATTTATATATATATATAATCTTAAATATTTGGATCTAGTCTTTACTTAGTTAAGTTATATAAAAATAAAATTTTTAATTTTTTTAACAATTGTGAATTGAAAAGATTAAAAAGGAAAGTTGTATAAGAAAAAACTTCTGATTTAACTAAATATATATATATATTAAGAAAGTATTTTTTATTATTCAATATATTAACTAAAACTAGGTAATTTTAAAAACAATTATAGATATGGATGTTGTATAATGCAAGAATAAAGCTTATAACCAAATAAGAATTTATATTCTATATAATATTTATATATTTAGATTTGATAGTCAATATCAATTAGAATATCTGGAATATTTATTGGAAAATTTAGAAGTTGTATTTCATTTGATTATTTGATTCTTAGATTTAATAATTTATATTAATTAAAAGATTTTTTGAAGCATTTACTAGAAAGTATTAAGTAAGATCATAGGTACTATATATAATATAAGTTAAAGATATGAAAATAATAAAAGACTTAGATAAACTTAGTTAGTATATTATTATTTTTTATCTTATATATAAGAATTAAGATTAAATAATTTAAAACTAGTGGCAGATTTTTATATTCTTGAATTCTTATTAATATATAGATTTATTTATGAGGTATAAGTTAATATTTTTAAATATACAAGATTAATTATATAAGTTAATATTAATATAGTTAGTAAACTACTTATATATAAGTATAGTATATGTAATCTTTAATAATTAATAAAAATTATATATAAAGTATATTTAATTTTTTTTAAAAAAATAATAATAATAAACTATTATATATATTTCGCATAGATATTAAACCAAAAACTTATATCGAAAAATTTAAAAATATTATTTATTATATTATAGATTTTAAATTATTTAATTAAATTTAATATTTTTTATATTAATATTTTATAATTGTTATTATATTATTTTTATTAAATATAAAAATAAAAGAAATAATATATTAAATAATAATAATAAATTATTTAAAAACAAATACTTTTTAATTTATTAAAATAATTTTAATATATAATTTTATTAAATAAAAAGTTTTTATTTTAATAATTATAGTATATAATGTTATTTTAAATAAAATATTAATTATTTAATATTTCTTATATAAATACTTGTTTGATAACAGTTTATATTAATAATAAATATCAAAATAAATTAGAATTAATTGATTTTTTATATAAAAATTGTTAATTTAATAATAAAAAAATAATTATAAATGGAATAATTTATTTTTTTATTTTTTGTTATTTTATTAAATTAAATTTTTTATAAAATATTTAATATAAAATTAATATCAATAATATAAATTAAAAAGATATTAAATAAATTTATTTTTTATATTTTTATTAGTATACAATATATTTAAAATTTAATTTTATAGATAATAATATAAAGATTATTGTATTTTACTATAGACAAATTTTACTATTAAAAATAATCGATTAATAGATTTTATTAATATCTTTGTACCACATCAAGTTACAAAGTCACAAATGTAATATCTGCAAGTTAAGGTTTCATTCTACATGTGATAATTGGGCGCAGTAATAAGAAGGTTATAACATGAACTGTAAAAATATGTGACACGTTTGGTCACAGGGCCATTTACACGTATATAAAGAATACACCAACCATTCTTTGAAAAAATGATGCATAACTATACTATTTTCAAGGAAATAAACTATCATTGTAAAATCAGAACCTTCTTTTAAACCTACCAAGTGTTTTTTAGGTATGCAATTGCATTCTTTATTCTTAGTGTTTTACTGACTCAGTTCAGTAAGGAAATTCATAACTTAAATCTATTTGTTCTATTCTGAAATTATTAATGCCAACGATTTCTCGTAAATAAGGGTCTTCCAAAATAAGTTCGCGAGGTAACTGTCATTTAAAATTTGCATTACTGTAATCTGCATTTACAAAAAAGCAATTCATTAATTCGATTATAACCACGTTATTCTTGCATTAGCATGGTAAATGTAGATTCTGAATCGCAACACTTTTTTAAAAATGTTGCGCCAAGAAAAGATGGAACAAATTGGAAGGGAAGAGTTCAAAACCTAAAAGAGTTATGCTTGGATGTATTGATGAAGAATCGTAGGCGTAAGTTTCTTTATTAAACTGTAATCTAATATTTTTATTTTCATAAACTAATCAGCATAAATAGCATTTTAATTCAGAATATTTAAGCAAATACAATAATTTGAGCTTTGTTTTGTTAGAATTACGTAAAGTTGGGAAAGCTCCTTATTGGCTTATGAAACCAATATATGATAAACTTGAACCAAGTGAATTAGAGGAACTAGAGAAACAGAATCCTGTAGGTTTATTTTGTGCATTGTGGTTTTACTGGTATTGACATCCATTGAAAAAATATATATTATTTTTATTACAGGGCCTCAAGGAAGATACAATGGGTAGGAAGGCATGGATTGGGAACTTTATTGTCACACCTAATTTATGATAAGTTACTCATTTCATGCATAACATTATGATTTAGAATTGTGGAAGAAGCATTGCATCGTGCGGTTTCCAGACGAATATAATTTACCAGATCAAGACTGGCGTAAACTATTTTTTGTAAAAATTGATCACCTTTCTATTGTGTATCATTCGTTTCTATGTCTAATGCGTAAAAAAATTTATTCTTGTATAAAAGGAACAAAGAAGTGAAGAAGCTCGAAGGTTGGGAAGAGCTTGCGAAAGACTACGAAAATCTACTCAGGAAAATAAGAAGAGAAGGAAAGTCAAATTGATTAGCCCCCTTAATCTTCCTCCCATGAAAAGAAATCATGGAGGTAATTTTATTTATCTTAATTTCTGTTAATGGAATTTTTTTTTTTCAATTTATGTAAATTGATTGTACTTCGCAACATTTATCTAGGATGGGTTAAATTAACACCGCTTCAGAGAGAACTCAAAAAAACGCTTAGATCAGGGGCATACGAACACCGTACTCATTTTACTCAACTTGAGTCTGGCCCTACTATGATGACTGTTCCTGTAGATTGGTTACAAGGTTCGAGAGCCACGAGCGAATCCAGTTATCGGGTGCCGGCTCAAGTTACATTGCCGTCAAAATATCTTCCAGTTACCATGAACACCTGTAATGAGCAGCGACGTGTTGATCCCAAACTTTCACTTGTCAATAACAGAGAAGTTGACCGAAATCATCAATTACGAACAGCTAATCGCAGTACTGCATCAAGTCCACATTTGATTCGACGTTCGTCTACAGCTACGCCTCCATCCAATATACTGCCGACATCTGTATCCATGGCATATGCTTCGTCATCATCTAAACGTCCCCATGAAATAGAATCAGCTACTCCAGTAGCAAAGCGTTCTCGTGTCGAATCTTCCACAAATGTTTATTCACGAATTCAAACGGTATCAAAGCAACCTGGAGTCGTTGCTCCTGAGAAATTAAAGAACAGTAAACTGAACGCCACATCGTCTCGTTCCAGCATTCCTTTTTCAAAAAAATTGTCAATCTCCGGTGATGATTCTAAGTGTACTTCGACGGGTTCTTCTCGTCGAATGGAGCATACCACAACTTTAAAGTCTCGAAGTACAATAAAAGTCGTGAAGTCACCAGTTACAATTAGCTCTTCATCTATCAAACTTACCAATACTACTGCAACCACAACCAACAATGCTAGAAAAATATCGTCGATAAAAAAAGAGGTCAGGCACGAACCATATCATACCAAGAAGCAACGTATTGTTCGTAATAATTAATTATTAGCTGTTACTGTTTTATTTTCCAAACTCCCTATTCTAGCAATGTTCTTAGTGTTTTCAATACAAATTTATTCAATTCAAATAAGATTGCATTAAAACCACAACACATTACACTTCCACTATAAAGACCACGTCTATATGCTTTCAATATCACGGGAAAACTTATTCAATGAATACCATCAGGATGGTACGATTTGATCAACAGATTTAGAATGTTTCATGAACCAGTAGACTGGATTTTTTATTATACGAATACCTAATACCAATATACAACTATGTAAATCAATTATGAATGGTGTCGATATTTTAATACAGATCAATTGTTTATAGTAGAAAGCGGAACAGATGAGTGGGTAGTAATATGACAACTATATTATATATTTGTATATCTTTATAATGTCAACCAATTTGTACATATTTCTGACATGTATTTAATATTTGACCATTGATTAAAATATATGAGAATACAATATTAGTGCTAATATTTTTTGTAATGTCTATAGAAATTTATGAGTCTGGGTGTACATAATAAATAGTAACATAATCGATGAATTTATTATGATTTAAAGTCAAATGAACAATGAACTAGAGCAAGAATGCCTCCGAGTACTATTCAGAAATGGAATGGGTCTTTTTTTATATTGAATAAGTTTTTAATAGAAACCAAAACAAGCAAATACAAATGTTAATTGTAATAATGAATTTTGAATATTATTTTATATTTTTATTTTACGTGAATATTACATTCGAAATTCTTTCCTTCACTGGTCTATAATATCTTTGCTACGGGGTTTAGATATCGGTCTATTATTTCTTGGAAATGTGTATCGATAGGTCAATTTATCCACCAATACATTATTAAAATTGATTATTTTTTAGAATCAGAATTTACGAATACTAAATATTACACGTTTATAATTATGTATAACCCAATATATAATTTACATGCGCCTAGGTAAATTGTAATCCAGGTGGACTTTTAATCCCTATAAAAATCTATCACGTTTTTCTAGTTCGTTTGTATTTATAACCAATGGCTTGTCTTCTACAGATGATTTGTTTCTGTCAAAAGATGTGCTGCCGATTTATTCTTATTCGTTCGATTTCTAGCCGCCGTCAACGCTGCTTCAATTCCAATAAAGTTATCATTGATTACACCGTCATCTGCATCGTCCATCGCGTCATCAAATAGCAACTCTTTTGGTAGATTGAGGCTGTAACCATCACCCGGGGTCCATGTGGCTCTTTGAATCGATAATTTTGTGCGATCCTTTGATTCTGAAGGATCTGGTTCCTTCTCGTTACCTTCGTCCGTGGAACCCGATGTAGAATTATTGTTTCCTTTGTTTGATTCATCTACAGCTTCGGCATTTTTCATTTTGGCCCTCTTCATTTCAGCTTTACGTGCTATAGAGCGTTCAATAGATTCTATGTATGTGGTGTATTTGACAATTTCATACAATAACCATTGTGACTTCTTTTCCCAATTAGCGACTGCTTTTGCATAATTCGGGTCACGCGGATTAAACTGTTTAAAAGAAAAAAGTTAATATTGATCATAACCGAAAAACAATATTGAATGAACTAAGTGATATTACAAGTTTTGACATAGGATCCCAAAAACCCTTGTGTTCGTTCAACTCGTTCTCAAGGTCGTCTCTGTATTTTTGCAGAGCCGCTAGTTGTGATGCCTATATCATGAATTAAACCGCGAAGAAATATCAATATCAACAGAAATATGCACATGCATTGAAAAAAAAAAGTTATGGTATACCTCATCATGATTACTTGGAACCGAAGGTGGTATCGGTATTTTCCACTCGCTAACAAAAATACGATCGCTGTTGTATGATGAAACGTTACTCACTACACTACGAGGGTCACTCATTACACTTCTAGAATCTTCGAACTCGCTAGCGTCATTATTTTGTTCAAAACATCTTCCCCATCCGTATTCCATATTGCTAACACCTCCCGGCAATGGCTCTTTACTTGACCTAGCTGCCCAATAATTGCATGTTGATACCCACTCATCTACCAATTCGGCAGTACCAGCTTGAAAGAAATAAAGACCGCCGTTACTCGTTAAAAGAGCAAACACAAAAGGACGATCACGATTGTAGCCAGGTGGCGGCAGTGCGTTCGTGATTGTGTGGCAAAGATCAACCTGTCCCATGACTGTTGCATTCGCCTACACGTGACATACATTAAGATTATTAAGATTATTAGGTTGGTTGCAACGCTAAACTTTAATCTTACCATCCAATTTCCTCCACCGATTGCCCCTATTCTAGTAGAACCGCGGGAAGACTGAGTGTCAAATTTAAACATTCGAAGTTCACCCTTTTCAACGACTACAAAGCATTCTTTCCAGCTCCTGTCTTTTGCCTTCTTGTTTGTCGACTCCCGGGAATGCTTTCGAATCAACAATCCTTCTTTGGCGTATGGAGCACCGGACAGGTATAATTCCAATGATTCGTCAGTATCAATAGAATCCGTGACTGATGCTTTGTCATCTTCACATTCTTCCTCCGTTATTGCCGTTGTGATTTCTGTCTCACATGATGATGTGCGACGTAGAGAAAGCGAAGACGGTCCTGATCTTGCCTGACTATCATTCTGGAAGGAACGATGTGAATATCAGTATAATGTGATAGAGTGAATAAAAAAAAATAAATTATATATATATATACTCCGCCGCTAATATCACTTCCTCCGCTTATTACACTTGGGCTTGGAGAAATTCTTCGTGCCTTTGCAATGAGGGTGTTAAGTCTAGTGTTCGGGTAGCCCGAATGACTAAGACTGCGGTGCAAACCCGAGGGAGGAGGACTAGATGGTTTTTCAACATCCGACAAAAGTGGCAGTAGTATCTGATTTGATTTAATAGAGTTATACATGTCTTTTAAAAGATTTTCCAATTCTGACTCCCATTGCCGCGAAGAACCATTCACCGCGAACGACAAGTTCGTCACACTCGAATTGGGATTACCAAGCCAACTTTTGATGCTACTGCTGCGACGCGGACGAGTAGTAGTCGGCGTTGTATTTGTCTCTAAGGACGTTATGGTGCTCTGATCGTCTTCAGATATATCATTGTTGTTAACTTGCGCTGTATTAGCCTCGTGAACGGTCGCCATGGTGTTCCGTATGAATTGCACACGTGACATCTTGCTGGACACTTGAGCGATGTGAAGATCGGTGTTCAACAGAAGGATGGAATATGCAATAGCGTGAACTATGTCTAGAGGTTTTTGTTTAAATCAGTTAAACTTCATTGAGAAACACGTAAAATATTACAGTAAGAAAGGATAAACTTGCCTGCGCTTCCGAAGATGGTTTTAGGGTTACATTCCCAATATCGTTTAGAAAATGCTTCTAAAATGCGGTCCACTTGTTGCGTCTCCCCCTTTATGTATAGTTTCTCGCACAATCGTCTACGTTAAGAGATAGTTGAGTTTACAGAATATAAAGATGCAGCAACACAAAAATAACTTGAACATTGATAAACCTGAATGCCATATCTAATTTTAAATTTGAAAAATTAAAGTATTCCATATAGAACTTCAACGCTCTGGAGTTTAAAGGTTTTCTGTAATAGAAAAAAAAAAGGCAATATAGTAAGGTCAGATCCCTGTAAAAACAAATTCTCCAAGTTCTTAAAGTTCCTGACATACATTCCGCCTAAGAATTCGGCAATTGCTTCTTTTTTAATAAATGTCTCGTCTTCATCGAAACACTTTTTTGCGGCGTTTCTTGCTTTTAAAATGGTCACATCGTCGTCCATTTTTTCCGAAACACTCGATGGAGAAATTTCATCCTCGTAATATTCTTCGTCGTGACTTTCGGGTGAATTAACTTCGTTGACCTGTATCTTGGGCGTTCTTTCACTGGTTTCGGTTAT